TTCCCGTGATAAGCTTTTGCTTTCTGGTTGATAGTAAGGGAGTGAGGAAAATTGAGGTAAGTAAAATGGAACTTCTGATCCTGATGAATTTTGCGTAGCCATGCTCTACTTTAAGAGATAGTTATAACCAATTATACTCGCCACACTAAAATTAAATGAAACCCTAAATAACTTTAAATTCGCCAATCTGTCGGGTATGGAACATAAATAGGTACAAATGAGAGATATACTGGCAGGTATTTTTCATATCATTTGGAACAGAAAGGAAAAGAAATAATATTAGCTTTATCGTGTTGGTTCGACCGTGCTTGCGAAAGTTGGTCGGAGCGTCAGAGATACCTTGTGGAACATACAATTCCCGTGTCCTCTTCCATAGTATTCGCGATTTACAGTTCTGGACCATTGGCTGGATATATAGCTAAAGGATACTGGAATAAAACCGAAGCCCATACTATCTTGATCTTTCTATCTATAATCTAAAAATAGATTTATTCTAATTAGAATGGTGAAACCCTTATTTGGTTTGTGAGCAAAGGCTGTCATTCAACTCAAAATGTAGATACGTAGTGAAGCTGACAATTTTTTAAAGGGCTGTATATAAGGTTTATGGACATGTGGAAGATCAAAAATAAAAATTAACTTACGGTCAAAGTTTTGAGGAGCAACATAGTTTATCTTTGCGAAGTTACGAACTTAAAAAAACTTTCTAGTAGGTTAGATTGAATAACAGAAAAGCAGATTTGATATGATTCACTATAAAACAGGAGGAAAATTTGTTTTAGCACCTAGAACTTATGAAGAACATAATAAACATACAAACAAGTAAGAAAATTTTTTTGTAATAATGACAAATATTTCGTATAAGGTTATTTCGGCTTATGATTTTAGGATGTAAAAAATAAAGTTATGAGGAAACTTCGGAGTATCTATCACTTGTGGTTGAGAAACAAAGAGGAAAAGATATAGGAATTCACCAAGAAGAGCACATACTTAATGATAAGACATACCAAATTATAGTAAAGTAATTTCTCTAAACATAGATTCATTACAGTCCTGGTTAATTTACATTTCTATAGTAATTCTAAAATAATATAAAAAGGATAAGCCTACATTCTAATTTACACTTTTTAAGGCATTCGTATTCAGTGATCGCGAACAAATTATTAATTTCGCTGCGGAAGCAATGGGACAGACTATTAATAAAATGAAGTGTAAGAGGGTCAAGATGGGTTATAATTTTAGTTCTGCGTTTTAAACCAACTTTCATAGCTAATTAGCTTTCCTCACCAGTTATATCACGTTGCCCGAGTGATAGTGGTTACTTTCAATGAGGTATTTTTTCTTGGCGGAAGCAGTAATAAACATAACTCTTTACTAAATAGAAATGTCCGCAAGATTTCGGGCAATGGAGGCTGATGTATGCTTTTGAACTCATATAAACTCAAATCAGGTAGTGAGTTTTATTCAAAATCATTTATTAGTAGTGTGAACATCATTATTAAATTTTGAAATGATAGGCAATACAGTGAAAATTAGTTGCGGAAGCGGTGCATGCCAAAATCTTACGTTTACCTTATCACTATTTATTGTATACCATATTAAGAATAAGATATGTGCAATCTGAGACGTTCAAAGTAAAAGATAGTCTGTAACTGTTTAATTCATTAATTTATTATTTAAAATATAATTAAAATGTTCTTTTGATTTATTTATATAAAATTTGGTAATTTATGTTGAAGTGGCTCTTCATGGCTTTACCCCGCTACATTCGAGCTTTCCATCATCCTACTTCGCTTTTCCTTCTCTATTTGTTCTCTGTTCACTTTTCTTCTACGATTCTTTTCCGGTGCGTTTTATTTAATTTTTGGTTTTGATCCTTACCATACCTTTTTGTGCTGTATTTTTTATGAGTCCTCTTTATTACCCCCTTTTTAAATAGGCCTGACCGCATGAATAAAATGCGTTCCAGCTAGAGCACGTGTACTGAACTGCTAATAATTTTGCTTATAATGGGTCTTCGTCTCAGCATAGACAGCCCAGGACCTCAAGCATCGGCATATGTTCAGTCTCCTCGGACACATTATGAAAACATACCAAGTGACCAAAGGCCCATCCCGAGGAATTCCAACACCAATGGAACCAGTTTCTCAGCGCCATCTCGGCGTAACCAGCAAGCCTGTTCTAGCTCGCGTCGGGAAGCACAAGACAATGGAACCGATGCCATTTCAAATCTTTCTGGCTCGCATCAACCTTCAAGCATAAATAGTCTTATCCAAGATCTCGAGCAGGGCACTGTTACTTCAGATACTGCCGATCTTCTACAAATATTAAAATTTTACAGAAATAGGACCAGAACTCCTGATGCGCATAATCCCGGTTCGTCCTATTCTCGTTCCAGATCAGTTGCTGGACAATGGTCATTAGCAGAAACGTTAGCAGCTGCTGCAACTGCTTCTTCTCTTGATTCATCATGCAGGCAGGATAAGACAAGAGGAAACCGAAGCAGACAGTCAGGTTCCTCGCGCTCAACTTTCGCTATCTACGGCGGAGGTATGCATCATGCTAGTTGGCGAAGGCATTCTGAAGAAATGGCTTCTACGGAAGGTGATCTAACTAGCAATGGGGAGGATTACGTAAATGTGGCCACTGGATCCAGCCCAGAGGATCAGTCAACATCTCGTCATGCAGAGTTGCTACAGAATCACATTGATCTTCGCCGAGGACTTATGCTTCTTGATGGTAGAGTATCTTCCCGGTTTTTCCTGTCTAAATACCCTTCCAGCCAATCATATTTCACCATTTACTTGTTGCTTCATTAGTTAACATAC